ACTTGTTTTCTTCTTCCTTCCCTACCTAACACTTAGTCTTTATTGTATTCTACTCGTACCTACCTCGTCTCTCTCTATCAACACCCCCCCCCCTACCCCCCCCCTCCCCCCCCTCCCCCTCCTCTCTCTCTCTCTCCCCCCCTCAACAGAGATCCTCGAAACCCCAATCTCTCTCTCACCACTTAGTTCAGCCCCTAAATCTCCCTCTCTAGTTCAGCCCCCAAATCTCTCTCTCTCTAGCATCAAAGAGTTGCGCAAAAAGATCAACATCTTAAAGAGGGAAAGTCTCATGAGAGATATCAACATCTTAGAGAGGGGAAACAACATCCGTCATTGAAGCTAATTTGAATCCCAACATCCACCATTGAAGCTTTTCCCTCCTCAGAACCCCAACATTCGCCATTGAAGCTAATTTCAAGCTATGAAGAACAAAACTAGATCAGGACCCATGCAAGAGCCAAAGCACTTGATGATATCCCCATATCCTATGTCTTTTTCCTTACATTCCTGTACCAGTTGATTGCCAAGTCGGTCTCGTCTTCATGGAACAAAGCCATCATCAAATATGTGTCAAATATCATCAAATATGTGTCAAATATAAAAAAATCAATGAATTGTAGTTTTGTTAGCCAAAAAGTCGAAAAATTACAAATCCACAAAAAATTTGAAATACAATTGGACATTAAAACGTGCTGATAAAAAGACATATCATGATAATATAAAATCTAAATATACACAAAGCAAGTTAATGTCTTTATTCAGATCTTTAAAAATTTAAATATCTAAATCATGTTCTGTCAAACATATCCTAGATCTAGTACAACATTTTAAAACCCACTAATCCAGATCCAGATTTGGCTCACAAACCAATCAATATCAGAACCGGAACCATAACTAGAACCATTATCATGTAATATAGATTGTGGGGGATGCAATTTAGCAAGGGAAAAGTTTATAGAAGGTTGCAACCTTAAAATGTAGAATCAGATGCACCTAAAAAATCTATCGGAAATAGTGTTTTAATTTTGAAAAAACACTCTAATCGATCATCTCGACATCGAGATGCATGAATATGAAAAAAAAAGTTTTTGAGTCTCAAAAATAGTGCATCTTGCGACACATTATCTAGACCATCTATTTTCAAGATTTTCATATATTTATAGATCTATTTAATTTAAAATTTAAAATTTTTAAAAATACATTTTAAGATAATACTAAAAAAAATTTACAACATAATTACATGTTAATAAAATTTTAAGGTGCGCCCTAATTGGAATGTTTAAGGTTGTAGAAACCGCAACCCTTTACCAAAGATTTGTAATCCAAGGATCTACACTATAAACCGTACACCTATTTAGGCGCTAGAGAGAGAAAGTCCGTGAAAAAAGAGGAGAGGGAAAGAGAGGATAGGGGTGGGGAGAGGCACTTGAAAGACCGTAAAAAAAATAGGAGAGAGAAAGGGAGGCCCGTTCGTAACAGAGTTGCAGAGACTGAGGAAGGCCATTTTAGAGAGCGAGAGAGAGAGGAAGATTCAGGCGTATTGTAGAGAGATGGCGGGGACGAAGAGAAAGCAGCTGAGGCAGGAGGATCTCGCCTACCTGCTATCCGCAGTAGGAACCTCCATTGTTATCACCCATCGCTTCCTCTCAGATAACGACCTCCTCCTCCGCCCCTCTCAATCCCTCTCTCTCCAATCCTCTCTCCAGTCCTCCGCCCTTTCTCTCTCTAAACTCCTCTCTCTCCTCGCCCCCTCCCCTCGCCTGTCCCTCCCTCCTCCTCCCTTCTCCCCTGATCTCCCCTGGTTCTCACGTCTCTGCTCCTCTCTCCCGCACTCAGCACATCTCTGGCCCCCCAACTTCGTCCTCCCTCACTCCACTTTCTCTCTCCTCCTCCAAACCCTCCTCCCTTCTCTCAGTAACCCCACCTCTGAACTTCCTCTCTCTCATCCCAATGTAACCACTTCTCCATCGTCTCTCGATCAACCCACAAACCCCATTTCTCCACCTTCTCTCTCTACACCCACAAACCCAATTTCTCCTTCCTCTCCCTCTCTACCCACAAACCCTAACCCTATTCCTGCATCCTCTCTCTGTGTATCAACAAGCCCCTCTCACACTGATCGCCCAAACCCCACATTTCCCCCTTCTCTCTCTACACCTACCCATCCCTCTTCCCCCAACTCTCTCTCTACCCCTGCAAACCCCACCACCTCTGCTCTCTCTTCCTCTCACCCAACAAACTGCACCTCTCCCCATTCTCTCTCTAACCCCATGGATCCCCAACCCACGAAACCCCCATCCCCACACTCTCTCTCTGACCCCACAAACCCCACTCTCTCTCAACCCACAAATCCCACCTCAACCCACTCTCTTTCTGACCACAAAGACCCCTCCTTCTCTCCCCCTCACCCGGCCTCCCAACATTTCTCCCCTGAAACAGCCCTTGCCGCCGCGCTCCACCGCCTGGCCCATGCTACCCCCTTTGCCGCCCTCGGCCCACTTTTTGGTCTCGAACCCCCTGAAGCCGCCAGCGCCTTCTTCTCTGTACTTAAGGCCACCTGTACGCACCTCTCCCACCTCTTCCACCTCCCTGACCCAATTGCATTCCCTCCCCCACCCAACCTCCCGAACTGCCGAGGCGCCCTCATCTACGCCCGCTTCCCGATCGCCCAAAACGCCCCCAAGCCATTTCGCGAGCCCAATGGCCAGGCGAGTGTGCTCGTGCAGGCGGTGGTCGGGTTCGACGGCACCTTCGCGGACATCTCAGCCGGGTGGCCCGGTAGGCTCAAGCCGTCGAGTATTTTGGCTAGAACCGCCCTGTTTTCTAGGGGCCATGGGCTCTTGCAGGGGCCAAAGGTGAGGCTGGCCAATGGGTTCGAGGTGGGCGAGTACTTGGTGGGTGGACCAGGGTGCCCACTTTTGCCTTGGCTTGTGACCCCTTACGGGTCGGGCTCAACCCAAGTGGACTCGAGTGGGTTTGATGCGGCTCATGGGAGGGCAATGGGAGTGGCGAGGAGGGCAATTGCGAGATTATGGAGATTTTGGGGGTTACTGTCGGAGCGGCATAGGGTGGAGTATTTGGAGTATTTGCCTTATGTGGTGGCGGGAGTGTGCTTGTTGATGAATTTTATGGTGAGGTGTGGGGAGGGGTGGGAAGAGAGAGAGGAAGAGTGTAGAGAGAGAGAGAGAGAGAGAGAAAGAGGGGATGTTTTGGAGTTGGAGGGGGGAAGGGATGAGGGCGGAGAGAGAATTAGGGATGCTTTGGCTCATCACATTGCCTTGCTAAACCAACCACCGCATCAATGAAATCTTACATTTTTAATGAATCCCAACATGTGATTTTTTGAGTTCCATTCCCGCACGCCCATTTTTATTAGTGCATCGGGTTTTATTGTTTTAATTTAGAATTTCAACAACATTTTCTTTTTATCTTTTTTTAACATTAGTTTGGATTTGCTTGTTTAGTTATTGGACTATGTTTCTAATCCCAACTATAATATAGATTGTACCTAAAAATAAAGATTCATATTCCATCTCTATTGTCAATTATAAATAGACTGTGGATGTGTTAGAGATTAGTTCAATAAATATCTTCTATTTCGCCAAAAACTTTTCTATGGTTTGGGGTTTGGATTTTTATGGGTAAGCTGATTGATTTATTTGAGTCCACGCACCTAACATGGCGCTTGAAGATCAAAATTTGGGTGGGATCTTTATGGTAACTCACCCAACACGTTTTTTTTGTACTTTGACACATCCAATGTTTATTTACAATATTTAGTAGTGATCATGTCAAAAAATCTACCCATATTGGAGATTATACCCAAAATTGAAATTCACATACAATCTCTTCTACGTATTGTAAATTGATGGTGGATGCCTAGTGATGTTGGCAAATAGCTGCATCCCCCAATAGACCAAACATTTTGCTCTGCAGACACGAGAAAGAATGAAATTAAGTTTGCACCTACATAAAACAGAAAATTGAATTAAATTAAATTTTGATGGTAGCTCTCTGGTAAATCTCGAAAATAGTGGCATTAGCAGACCTTTTAAAGATCACATAAGCATTATCATTCTTGAGGAGAGGTGAATACAAAAATAGCGGAAGTTAGGACTCTTACAAGGGTTAAGAATTATATCCAGCTCCTTTTTGAATAATACTATCATTATTGAAAGAGACTTGACAAATATGATTTCTTGGTGCAGGAGGTAAGCTAAAGCCCCTTATAGATTGATTCCCTTGGTGCAAGAAATAAAAGATCTGATTGCAAGGTCCAATATTTCGTAAGTCAACCAAATGGCTGGTCAAAGGTGGTGCTCATCAACCAAATGGCTGGTCAAAGGTAGTTAAGACTTTTTTTATTGAATCTTTTTGTTTATATTCAAAAATATATACATATATATATATTAATATTTTTTAAAAAAACCCTACCTTCCAAGATATACCGTGCAACTTGCATCTATATATATATATGAAAGAGGCTCAAGGCTAAGGCTAGGTAGTCAAGGTGACGGGGCACCACAATGACTACCTAATTTCCATTCTTTTTATGAGTACAAGACCCTTTTCCTTTTTAACTACTCCTGAGCAAAAAAAACAAGCAGAAGGGAAAATTGTAGATACCTCTTAAAATAGACGTCCAACTCTCTAATACTTTTTCCAAATGAAATTATTGGTTTTTTTTTTTTAACCTCCCCAGCCCCTCTTAAAGTCAAAAAATTAATACATTAATGATTAAACTAACCTTTCAATCACATCTCTCTATCTCTTGTCCAATCTCTCTCGCCCCCTACCCGATGTCAGTCTCTCTCTCTACCTGAAATGGAAAAGTGTGGTCTAACACAAAATGTGTTGAACCAAAAAGAACAGGGAAAAAATGTGCCTCACTACCTGTCCGACAAACTTTTGTGTCGGACTGTATTTTTTCATTGTTTTTTCTACAGTCCAGCAAGAAATGTGTCGGACCGAAAGAACATGACAAAAAATGTAGTACTGCAGAAAATGTGTCGGACCGGCTTGTAGCTAAAAAGAAGAAAGCCGTTTCGACACATTTTCTGCCAAGCTACATTTTTTGTCATGGTTTTCCTGTCTGACATATTTCTTATTGGATTGTGACAAAAACATTGAAAAAATGCAGTCTAGAGCAAGACCACACTTTCCCATAAAAAATGTATTGGACCAGTAGTGAGGCACAATTTTTGTCATGTTATCATGGTCTGAGGCACAATTTATGTCATGGTACTCTAGTCCGACCCAAGACCGCACTTTCCTATTTTGGGCAAAAAGAAATATCAGGGAGAGAGAGAGAGAGAGAAAGAAAGATTGATATTGAGGGGGGGGGGAGAGAAAAAAAGTAATATTGGACAAAGAGAGATTGATACTAGGCGGGGAAAAAGAGAGAGAAAGAGAGGATTGAAATGGTAATTTAGTTATTAATGTATTAACTTTTTTTACATAGGGTTAAAAACACGGAGAATTATTTGGTGCGTCCAAGCCCACACCTGTTATCATGCGGGCTTCAAGATCTCCACCATCTACCAATGAAAGTGTACGTCTACACCATAAATAGTAGTCCTCTAAAGAAAAAGAAAAATCAATTGTTCAAATACTTTCTCCAAAAAATATCATTTCTAGTTTTTAAAATTTATTTATTTTTACAAATTAATAATTTATATATTAAAGATTACATATTCCCTAAAAATTAGGATTAAATTTTGTTTTAAAAGTAAATTATTAAGGGACCCCCATTTCTACATGTGAGTCCATAGACTCATAGAAATTGTGTCCTAAAAACAATGAAAAGTAATAAAGACAGTTTCTATGCGGTCAGCCAGCCTATTATAGAAACACAAGGTTGGCAATAAATATGTTTTTTTAATATAATTTGATCCTAATTTTTAGATAACATATAATCTTTAACATGAGATCATGAATATGGATTTTTTTTTAAAAAAAAATAAAAATAATAATTATATTAAAAAACATTTGGACCGTTTAGTTACACTTGTTTTTAGATGGGGCACCTATTTGTATTCATCTTTAAGATGAATGTTTTATACCTCTGGACCGCATATTGTAGAAATGTAGTGCAGCCCTGCATAAAACAATTTTTTCAAATAATAATTGGGTTAAGGGTGTGATATGAAAGGTATTTAGAGGGTTGGATGTCAACAAAGTACATTAAAAAAAATGGTATCCATAATTTTCCTAAAAAAAACCTTGCATAGCATATCTTTATCATGTAGGGGTGGCAATGGGTTGGTCCAGTTGATCCGAACCCAGACCCGAATGTGTTCGAGTCTAGGTTTTGGAGCCATACCCAACCCGTCGAGTCTCATGTCTATCTAGTCGGGTCCTATGTTTGATTGGATCCATTTGCCACCACTATGAGCTTTTTGTTTTTGGAAAAAGTTTATATAAGGATGCAACCTTATAAAGTAGACTTACTGATGCACCTAAAAAATCCATTGGAAAATGTAATTTTAATGTTAAAAAATCTTTTGATTGGTCATCTCGACATCAAGATGTATGACCATGAAAAATAAAAAGATTTCAAGTTTCAGAAATAAGGCATTTTACAACATATTATCTACACCGTCCATTTTCAAGATTTTCATATGTTTATTGATCTACTGGATTTTAACTATTTTTGAAATTTAAACTTTTATAATTAGATATAAAAATAGATTTTGAGATAATACTAAGAACATTTCACATCGAAATTATATACCATGATAAAATTTGAAGGTGCATCTTACCTCTACAGCTACGGATGCATCTGTATGCCAATTGCACTCTTTGTTTTTTGCCTTTATTTTTTATTATATATCTATATTATTGACAATAAGGTCACAATCACCCCATTAGATTTCATGATATCTGATCTATCGTTTAATAGCTAAAAATGATTATGAATTCTTATTGTATATGATCATTAATACATCCAAATGAATATGGCTTGAAGTATTTTATCTCAAAACAAAGTACAGGTGCGAGTCGGGTACTGGTCAGGTCTACCTGGACCTAGACCCTAATAGTAATTGGGTCCAAGTTTTGGCCCTAGACCCGACCCGCGGGTCTAAATGTTGGACGTATATCCAGGCCCGTGTCGGCTATACGCACCGGGTCGGAGTCCATTGCCACCCCTATTATCGTGGGGTAAAAAAGAAATTACGTAGATATCAGGCGTACACTATTCCATCACGGCCGTCCATGCAAGCAAAGCCAAATTACTGCCGTCTATCTACCTTTGGGTCCCACCGCCAGCTACGATTCTCATGTCGAGCGAGAGACGGCGTGGAATTTTAAGGAGAGAGACAGAGAAAAAATCCAGGATACGGCTATTGGTCATCGGGATTTAAAACCAACGCTTATCAACGGTCAACTTCAAGCTTTCCTTATTCATTAAAACGTGCGGTTTATATAGGGCCGAGGTTCTAAACAATCAAAGTAGAGCCTACCTTCAAATTGTGTTGAGACATGTGGTTTCAGTATTGAAAATCATTGTTATAGCCTTAAAATAAGTTTTCGTCTTTAATTGTGAAATTTAAAACTTTAAAAGTAGTGAAGATCTAGCACATCTATGAAAACTTGAAAATATTGAAAATTGATAGTTAAAAATGCATTACAAGGTCATTATTTTCAAAACTTGAAATCTATTTTTATTCTCGTTTCCATACATTTCGATGTGGAGATGATTAATGTGATGTGGAGATGATTAATTTGAGGGTATTTGAACATCAAAACAACTTTTTCTAGTGAAAATTTTGAGGTGAGTTTTAATTTGATTGCTTAGGGCCTCGGCTCTATAGAAACTTTTTCCTTCATTAAATTGTCACGTTCCTTCATTAAATTGTCACGAAAAGGTTGGAAAACAAAATTCCTTCTCCTTTTTTTTTTTTGATAAGAGTTAACTGAAACTTCTTCCTCATTTTTCCAACAAAAACTCCGGATTTTTGGAGTTTCGTGATATTATTCCTCTCTATCTTCAAAGCCCACATTCAACAGATCCTGCAAATCCTGTAAGTTTCATGCTTTTCCTCTGTTTTCCTCATTCATTGACTGTAACCCATCTCAGAGAGAGAGAGATCCAGTGAGTTTTCGTGTTTATATAAGCCATCGGAGAGAGATGGTTTGTATAGAAGATTTGAACAAAACCCAATCAAGGAAAATGGAAGAATAATTCCAGATTCAATTTATATGCCTGATAAGCCATGAATTCTACCACATATTCTGCTATTCCTGTAAACCCATCAATCGAACTACAGCCACAAGATCTTTCTCTAGGACCCCAACGAGAAAACACCAATTGGGTTGCAATAAAAAACTTATCCTCCATTGAAGACCATGAAGAAGATGATTTCCCCCTTATTCTTGAAGAAACCAAGGATGGATCAGGCATACCAGGCGCTGTCTTTAATTTATCTACAACCGTTATCGGGGCGGGAATCATGGCCCTTCCTGCTACAATGAAAGTCTTAGGTGTTCCACTAGGCTTCGCGGTGATAATCTTAATGGGGATTGTATCAGAAATAAGCATTGAAATTTTGGTGAAATTTTCGGCTCTTAAGAATGCTTCTTCTTACGGAGACATCATCGAATTTGCTTGTGGTCATGGCACAAGAATAATTTCAGACCTCTGTATAATTATCGGTAATGGGGGGATTTTGGTTGTTTATTTAATCATCATGGGTGATGTGATATCTGGTTCTTCTGAGCACTTGGGTGTTTTGGAACAACTGTTAGGAGGAGAAGGGTGGTGGAACAATAGGAAATTGATAGTTTTGATTATTTTGGTTATAGTTTTGGCCCCACTTTGTGCTTTAGAGAAAATCGATTCTTTGAGTTTAAGTTCGGCTGCCTCTGTTGCTTTAGCAGTGATCTTCGTGATTGTTGCTTGTGTAATCGCTTCCATGAAGCTGATTGAAGGGAAGATAGAGACCCCGAGAATGGTCCCTAATGTTGCATCTAAGCAAGCTATTTTGGATTTGCTAGTTGTTATTCCCATCATGACGAATGCCTATGTATGTCACTTTAATGTTCCGCCAATTTACAATGAATTGAGTGGAAGATCCCCTCAAAAGATGAACAAAGTGGGGAGAATTACAGCCTTATTATGCGTAGTGGTCTACGCTTTAACCGCTACATCAGGCTATCTCTTGTTTGGAGAGAAAACTGATTCAGATGTTCTCGCTAACTTTGATAAGGATCTTGGGATCCCCTTTAGCTCGATTTTGAACTACATTGTTCGGATTGGATATGTCCTTCATTTGATGCTTGTTTTTCCTGTTGTCCACTTCTCTCTTCGTCAGACTGTTGATTCATTGGCCTTTAAAAGGTTGGGTCCCCTTTCAGAGAGTAGGAAAAGGTCATTGGTTTTGACAATGGTGCTTTTGGCTTTGACTTATGTTGGGTCTACAATGATACCAAACATTTGGGTAGCTTTTAAATTCACTGGTGCAACTACAGGTCTCTCAGTGGGCTTTATTTTTCCATCTCTAGTGGCATTGAGGTTGGATCGGCAAGGAAAGGTTTTGGGCCATGGAGAGAGGATGCTTTCTTGGTCGATGCTTACATTGGCGCTAGTAGTAAGTGTCATTGGAGTAATTGGAAATGTGTATGGCATGAAAGGTCGTTCTGATTGATCACTGTCAATGCCTCCACAAATGCTTGGCATGGCCATTCATAAATGTTTGATCTCTCTCAATCCCTCTACAAAAGGCTTGGGATCACCATTCATAAAGGAGTGAAAAGGTGCTTGGAAAGTGAGTTTCATGGTCATGAATTGGGAATGAATTAAATTTGATTATGTCTTGTATCAGGCCTACAAATTTATTTTTCAATTTCCAAGCAAAGCTCTACCGCACATATTGGAGTTTTGCTTTGTATCTGGTTTCAAGTGATAGTTCGAAAGGAAAGAATAGAGTATGAGAAACAGAGAGTGCACTAATTTTTTTTTTTTTAACCATTAGTGCACTAAAATGTTGGCTGCAACATCGATGGGAAAACATGGTTTTAGTTGGTGGGGCAGGCTGTCCTATTCCAAAGGGCTCTCTCTTTTATATTTATTATTCCACAGGTGAAGTTTTGAATGTATTGAGCTCGAAGTTCATTACAGGATTGGCTTGTCATAAGATTTTCACTGCTCAGAGTGTAATACTTTCTTGAATCCAAGTGATTTATTTTCCTTTATAGACTTCAATTTTAATTCAGTCATGTGATAAATGTGACTTTATGACTGAAAACTGCGAATTTTTCTGATGGTCTGATCCTAAGGGTTCGAGATTTATACGAGAGATAACTTGATGGGTATCGTAAATGAATTTGTGAATTTACTAGTTACTTGGCCTATTGATTAGTATAGATGGGACATGGAGCATTTCTTGCTATTTTTGTGGTATATTCTTGTTGTTGAACACGGATACATTAATGATTTGCCTTGGTCCTTGGAATGCTTTTGGGATTTGCATAAAGAGATCAATGAATATTATGACTCAATTGATGCATACTGTGATTAATATTCTGCTTCATAGAACCTTCATTTTGGCATTTTCTTTGTTGAAACAAAAGACTGGTTTTATAGCACATGGTGTGATCTGAGTCGGACAAGTATTCTTTCTTAGGGGTTTTCTATGTCAAAAACATTTCTTAAGAATTATAAGCAATTGATGTAGAAGTATTTTATTCTCCTTATATTGATTGTGATTTCTGCTTTTTGTTGACTTTCACAATTCATGTGTAGTTGTTTCCTGGATAGATCTTTAGTATCCCACTCTGAAACTTTATAGGAATGTTTCAGCTTTTGAACTTTATGCCACATTTAATAGTAGGAGCATATTTTATGTTGATGACTGTGTACCACATTTCATATGCAGTGTCTTTTTCACCAGAGTTTGAAAAAGCTCCAAAAGGTTGACCTGTTCATCCAGTTACCTTGTCATTAACCTGGAACTTGCTATCTGTTCAGCCAGCTTGAGCAACCATGTGGACAGGTCCATATTTGTTGGTTGTCCTAATCTCATAGTGGGAGAAGATTCTACGTATAAAAAATTTATTTCCAGAGTACAAATAAGATACATGATCTCGTTAAGTTTCCATGTCAATAATCTGTGACCAGGCTTACCTCTGTCATTCATTTGACGTGACTTAATGTATTCAAAATGCCTAATATAATTGCCAAGCTTTCACAAAATTAATTAAGAATTTACACATATTGATGAGCTATAGTTTATCTAATATTAAACTTAGAGGAATATGTATAAATTTTGTCGGAAATGTTGATATCATCGACAAGAATTTACTTATCAGTCTTCAGAGTGGCAGTCTCATGTTCCAATGGTCAATTACATAAAATGGGACATTTATAGAACGAAACCATCACATGCTGCTGCTTCATGAAGAAAATTTACCAAAAGCTTGACATCTTGATATTGATATACAAAAAAGAAAATCAATGCTTATAAGAATGTGCCATCTGAAAATTTGTTAATTATGGAAACTGTTATTTATCACCAGTGGCATCATTCTTGATGCGTATATGTTAGAGGATTCCTGCTCCATTGTAGGGGAAGACTTTCTTTTTTCTGAGGATTAATTCTTTCCGAATCTATGGATGGATGCTCCTTTACTTTCTCTCTGTTGTTAAGTTACTTTTCCAAAGTGTATAAGAAGCACGTTTGAGGGAGGATGTTATATAAAGTGTACATATTTGGGGCACAACTTTTTGTCGATGTTTTGACACTCTTCCTTCTTAGTCCTACACTCTATACAAACCAAGAATAGTGGACATTTTCTTTAGCCTTAAAACTTAGAGCCATATATACAGATAATGTTGGTTGATGTATTGTCTCCTGTCTATAAACATGTGGTTGTGCACACAAATTCCAGAACGAGTTCATTCAAGTACAATGTAACATGTTTTGGTGCATCCCAGTTTGATTTATAGCCTTTAATCTAGAAATCATGCTCAATTGTCTTTGTTAAAAACTCAGAATCTTAAAATAGCATTATAAGCTCTTATAGAGGATCGAATGACCTTTTGTTTTCTGCATATCTGTATGTGCAGTCAGACATGAAGATCATGCATAGATGCATATATTCATGGGATGGATCTTATCAAGATTTACTGGCCAAAGATATACTTTTGGAACTAGGTTTAATGATGAGATTGCTTCACATTTTCTTAGGTCAGGGTTTCCCTATTATGCTGGCCATCGATCTAAAGTACTCATTTTCTCATTTGTCTGAGGATGCAACTCTCTTTTGATGAAAATAAATAATGTTAAATTTTCTTAATCAGAAATTATTACTTAGCAAAACGTTTAAGATGCAGTTCAAGAGCTCTCATCTTCCATCCTCAATATGTCATGTAACATGCAACACCAATGCAAGACACTCAAAAGGAACAGCATGAACACGTCATAGTCATGTGTATACTTTGTCGAAAGCATAACAGATCATCTGTGGAATCTAACTTGAGAAGCCAATTTTGTGGAACTTGTTTCAGCTATATATGTTCTCTATTGCTTTTACAGAACTAGTGCCATCTTGATGTCCCTATGATGTATAACATTCCTTCGAACTATGGATATATTTATATCTTCGATATTTTTGTTCCTAGAGGGCGAGTTTGGACCATACCTATATATTCTTTCTCCTATTATTGAATTAGGGAATATGTTTTTCCCCCCTTGGGCTATTGCGAATAGCTACTATTTGGTGGCATTTTCTGCACAAGTGGGGTTCCAAAAGCAACAGACATGAGTTGCAGTACTGTTCCAGCACAAGCGGAGGAACATAATAGTACAAATCCCTTAATGGTCTGTCATAACGGGCCCTCAACTTCTATGAATGACCACAAAATATAAATGCATGCTTTCTTGTGGTGAGTCAAATTAAATGGACTTTTATATTCTTCTGAACAATTTTTTCACTGTTTGGATACTACGAAAATAAATATGGATATCAATGTATGCTTGAGCTTCCAAAACCTTGAATGTCTGTGAGAAAATATGTTAAAGATCTTGCATATTTCAGTAGTCAAGTTCATGCATCATAGAGACGGGTCCCTACACATCAATGCAATATTCTCACAGAAGCCATAGTTATATCAAGATTGCTGCAAAAGCCGAACGAGTGCTTTTCCAATTGGTTATGCTTAGAGTTCATTTCATCAAGTAATTAATGAGTGCAAGAGCTTAAAGCAAGTTCATAGAAGAAAAATAGCAATCGAAAATAAATGAATGAAAGATTTGTATGTACAAGAATTCACAATGAGTTTCAGATAGAAAAAGTTCTAACCAGATCACTTTTGTGTCAGACTTCCTGTTTCTAAGGTCCTCATAAACAACATATAAAATGGAGTAGGGCATTAAACTTGATTTGTGCAAACTAAAAAATTCTTAATATATTTCCACTAATGTGAGGGATACATCATCATTGGGAGGGACAATTGGAAGGTCCCAGGTGAGAACATGCTCAAGTTTCATCAGCAATGAGGACATGTATTTGTGCCTTATGATGTTAACAAAATCATATATTGCAAGAATTAGTGATTCAATTAGTTGCAATGAAATGTGGTACGGTATCAATATAAACTGTGAAATATAGAATCAACTTATTCACTTTAATTATTAATGACATATTATATCGTCTGCCTCCATATTTTCTCATTGGTAACGGATGACAGATGCCACCACTGCTGCATAGTACACATTCCCGCTGTTAAATATCAATGATACTGAGGTCACATCCAATATTGAGGATAAAGGGGCAAGAAGGCATGGCCAAAAGACTCGATCCAAATTATGTAATGTAAAATATAAGAGGGAGAGGGGAGAAAACTGTATTTAGGTATTTTCCCAGAATATATATGGTCTCTCCATAATGTATATCTTCAATAAACACACAATGAAATATACTTCTATGAGAAGTTTAAAACTATAAAATGGATTTTGGGAGAGAAGCACCCCGTTAAGAGGATTTGTCTGATCAAAAAATTTGGAAACAGCTTAAAATTAGCATATGTACAATTGAAAAAGAAAAGAAGACACTTGCCCCAGAAAAAAAAGAAAAGAAGACAGATTTTAAATTCCTAAACACTTGCATCTAATAGTTGGAGAAATAGACAATTTTGTTTACTCTTGGGACGGGTTTCACTGTCCAATTTCAACCTTCTTTTTTTTTTTTGTCAGTCGCTAGGATGAAAAATTACATCCCCTAAATTTAGAGTGCCAAAAAAAGGTACCCCTAGGTGGGTTTTTTACTAGAGGCAGCGAATATAAAGCCCCACAGGACCATGTAATCTTTTTGCTTTAGTAACATGGAGATTGCATCTGCCCCTCATAGGGTCCCATGAACCAGTTAGGATCTTAGTTACTTTATAGAAGTCCACCCAAATAAGAAAGTCTGGTTATGGTTAATTCAAAGATCAAAATCCCAACTACGGTAGGAGCAAATTTTATTTTCCAATTCCCCATGGTTAGAAGATAAAAATTTCATGAGGAGAAAGCCAGCATGCGCATGGGACCTTCTATTAATGGCAATCACCTGCTCTGTTCTAATTAATCGTAATTAACTGCCCCTTCAATTAAACATCTACACATTCCAGTGGGCAACACTCTGTTTGAAGAGACTGAAATTCGAGAACCATCACCAATCTGTTTTTTTTTTTTCTTTAAATAAACCAACAATATTTTCATAGAGTTTATCTAAACCCTTGTTATATTCCAACAGCTGTGCGTGTGCATGTGCACAAGGGATCAGTCAATTTAGCATATGTTTAAGGCATTTACAGATGCAATACCACAAGATGAGAAGCCCAAAAGCTTGAAGACCCAACTCAAACAGGGTTTCATACTTAAGCTATGTTTTATTATTTAAACAGCAGAAGTCGTATGTACAAAGACACATATTCCTTCCCTTTGTCCATAACGCATGCAGCAGAGGCCCGAGGTGTAAGATGCACCACAAGCACACCATCAGTCTATACCCTCAATACCTAACATAAACAAGTAGTATCAGGAACTCAAAACAAGAAGCCAAGGGAGAATTTCAAGAAAGCTATACGCTCGCCTGCTTTTCCACCAATTCTCTGCAAAAACAACCCTCCACTTCTTCATCCACCTCTGCAAATACCACGTCCATCTTCAATGGTTGAAATAATCTCTCTCTCTCTCTCTCTCTCTGATCCACCATGTCCAGTATATGTGCAACTTCCCAATAACTTCAAAGCTTCATCATCATAACGATGATCATTTTACAGAAGCACATGCGAAAGGGGACATGCATGTACAACTTAACCAGCATGAAACAACACCAACACAACCCATCTCCATCGGATTACCAATATCTCTCTCACGTCTCTGTACAGCCCCTAGGAACTCATCTATGCTCAGATTGCCATCGCGATTGGCATCAAAGACGTGGAAGACAACATCAACCATGTTTTCTGTCACTACAACATCACACACCTGCCAATGAAGAAAATAGAAGAAGACCATAGTCATTTATTTATTTCTCAATTGATAATAATAATAATAATAGGGAGCCATTACTCTCTGTCGATTCCTTTCTTTTCGGGCATATGGTAACCGCGAAATGGACAAAAGACCTTAGTGCTAAGGGTCAATGACGAATCCACATTTCTAAAAAATCTCAGAAGTATATATAATCAAAGATTTTTTTTCTTTTAAAAAAAGAGAATGTCCAAAGGACATTATCCTTATATTGCGAGAATTTTCCTTTATTCTTTTTTTGGAGGAAATGTCAAAAGAAAGAAGTGATCCTTAATATTGTGGTACAAGAGTCCATTCTTATTTTTCTTCTGCAGTTTTTATGAAAATAAATTTATTTATTCTTATGGCAAGAAAAATTCAAGTAATGCAATTTTAAAATACGGATGTATATAGCAAACTCAACCACCCATTCTCATTAACAGATGGATGAGATGAAACATTCCTCAGCTCAAGTCCTTCGACATGTTCATCAACCATACATTGTTAAGAATAGATGGCTAAGGCTACAAGTAAATATTGTTTGTATCACAAACCATCAATCAAGACAAGTATTGATCCCAAAAGATTTTTGAAATGATGTTTCAAATTCTTTCTTGAACTTCTTATCTTCATTGATATGAATTTTTTTGATTTTAATCCAAACTTCAAAAAAAATTCCGCAAACATATTTCCCAAACAAATACATGTTCCAAAAAAAGAAAATGTATTTCCCAAAATAAATGCTCACCGACATATTCCCCCAAAGATGAACATATTCCCTAAGAAAAACCCTATTCCAGTAAAAAGGAAAAGGGAAAGGAAGAGTTACTGCCAAAAATGCTGTCGACAACAATGATGTGTAGCTATATGACCATGAGTATACACCCTCGCAAGCTGTTAACCTTTCTATGAATTCTAGTGAGTCTACCATTTTCAATCGTTTATAGTTTGGACTTGTTTTGTAATAGATTTGGATCATGGGATGAGACATATAAACTAATTGAGTTATATTAGTTTCGTACAATTTTTATGGAGGCATTACTTCATCATCATCATCCGAGCCTTATCCCAACCACTTGGGGTCGGCTATATGAATCATGTTCCACCATTCCACTCTATCAAAGGTCATACCATCGGTCAGATTATAGGTCATATCTACTCTCACTACTTCCATCCATATCCTTTCGGGCCCTCCCATTGCCCTTTTAAAGTCTTCCACTTGAACTAAATCCTCCCTCCCAATCCGTATTGTTCTAGGTCGACGCTGCACATGGCTAGACCACCTAAGCCCAATCTCCCTCATCTTATCGTCTATTGGAGCCACCATTAAGTTCCCTCAGATGTATTCATTACGAATTCTTTCCTTTATTGTCTTGCTACTCATCCAGCTCAACATCCTGATCTTAGCTATATACTCATTCTATAGATATCTTGTTTCTTGACTGCCTAACAAGTCGTCCCATAAAGCAGTACTGGTCTTACGGCCATCCTATGAGACTGTCCTTTTAGTTTCATTGGTATACGAAATCACATAAGAACTATGGAAGCACATCTCCACTTCATGGAGGCATTACTTATTGATTGCTATTGCAAATTGTAACTATATTTTGTGGCATCTAAACCTAACTTATTTTCTTACTCCGTTTTTTTTTTTTTTGGAGCCGAATTTGAAATATTCATTCCATTTTTACTTACTTAATTTTTCAGGATACATTTTTTACCTGCTTTTTTGCCTCTTATTTTTTGGACAAAAACCAATTTAATGCCAATTTTTTGGTTGATGTTTTTTTTAATTCCTAACTTGCTCACTATGGTCCAAAAACCAATAGTTGCAGCCACCCCAACATCCAAAGATGTTGAAATTTGCAGAAAGGAAGCACAAATGAAGGAGAATACAGATTACATACATGGGATGCAGCTCTTTGGAAATCATCCTTGGTCAACAAGCCATTCACTTTCCCATAGCTGAATATTGCAAGAGCCAAAGGGTATAATTTCTTGCGTAACTCAGCAAATGCCTTAAACTCCTGCAAAGCGATAAGAAAAGATACATACAGGAGGGGGCAAAAAAAAGAAGGAAAGAAAAGATACGAAGTACAAAGAAAGTGAACCATAAATCAGTGGAATAATGAGTACAGAATTCTGGAACCCACTGTCCATTCCTTCGGATGTATGATGTGGATTAACCATTGTGGGAATACCAGGACAGTCATCCAGGTACAATTAATTTCCACCATCCATCATAAGGAATGAAACAGTTGATGACCCTTTGGAGTTCCGTATACACTATCCCATTGAAATATGCTGTACTTTCTAAGAGAAAATAAACATGGCTGACCTCAAAGGTGATCTGCATATCTCTAAGGTGAGGGTTGTCACTCAATTCATCAACCCGGTCAAGGAACTTGCTTATAAGGCCCATGTCTGCGGCAGCAACCATGGACAGGGCAAAATCCCTTGCTGATATGGTGCCACATGATTTATAATCATAATGCGCAAATTCCAAACGTATGATCTGTATAAATTTGTAGCATCAGCCTCTCACAGACACAAAAGAAACATACATACACGTATCTATCTATATGCAATAGAATAACATGAGTTATTTGTTCATCAGCTGATATTTACAGGCTCAACTAATATGGTCCCAATAATATGCTTTGTTGGGCATTAGTATGGACGAGGTAAAGCTTTGGTAAAGCTTATACATACAAATAAACAATTACAAAATGCTAATAACAATTCTAGCCAGAGATGCCAATTGAGAATCACAAAGTTTACAAGCATAGGGAATAATGGAAACTAGATATTAGAGCAATCAAATAGAATGCTTCCATGCTCTTCATGTGATAAAATACAAGAGGAAGGTGAGAGGTATACCTCATGATGCAAATCTTTCAAAAACTTTACAAACTTCTCATACTGGAGAGATGATTTGCCATCCTTTCCAAAAAAGTACTCAACTAAACCCCCATTTTCAACAGAATCCCCAACTATGAACCCTGGTCGTAGCCCATCCCTGTGGGCTGACCCTTGTCTATTATGAGACCTCATCAACTGCATCACTTTCTTAAACTCCTCCCTTTCTATCTTTCTGGAGAAATATAACTATAATCAGTATTTGAGTACAAAGCAAAAAGAACCGATATTCCTCGGTCAAATGCCCATATCGTTTGGTGTAATTTCAAAATATCCATAAAAAATCTTGAGTTGGAATAGTTCCAAAAGGATAAATTGTTGAATAGATCTCAATGCAAATCACTTGACTAAAGAATCATTACTTTTGACACATACAATATTCAGAAACTCTCAAATGCAATTCGTAAATCATGTTGTTGTAGTCGCTGTTAATCAATACACTTGTTCCCCATTACTGAAAGACCAGGATGACCATTCACATATGCTAGCAAAATATTTCAATCACTTATTATTGAGAACTTCAAAATACAGTCCGAGTATCTCGTTCATTTGCCCAGAATCAAAGTTTTCTGAATGGTTTTATCAACAAAATAATTGTAAAAATAAAATGAAAAAAATAAAAATTTCTCAATTAAATCCTCTGGTGTTGATGAATTATTCCTCATAGAACAATTCCAGGAAACAAAATAATAAAATACTAGGTATGCAATCAAAATAGCTGTCACCTTTAAAGATACTATACATGCACTTATCAGAAGAAAGTGTAAAATCTTTTAAAAATGGAAGCTCAACATAATGAATAAGAATTAAAACTTTTCTTTTTCGTTTTCCTTTTCCAATAGGATAAGCTTTAGAGAAAACGTAGAAAAACTAAACTCATACGGCATTTTTTTTTGACATACCTACAAAGTTCAACAAACAGATACTAATGTGTACCAATTATTGTTAGCAGTCAGAAAGAAAATAGCATACCCATTACTGTCCAGATCAAACATTTTGAATGTTGCAGAGAAATTTGGTTCTGGAATGCTAAGTAGGGTGACAAAGAAAATGTACCTGTCAAAAGAAAGAGTAACAGATCAATATGGCATCCTCGGAAACTGGAAATGTCAAACTGAGAGTTAAGCAGTTTACTAGTAGGATCCAAGTTCCTGAACCAACAGATAACTGTATGACTTACACATTCTTTTCAAGGAATCTCCCTTGTATACATGAAAAATCACATCTGTGATCTAGTAATATAATAATAAAATTGTTGTTCGTACTCACTCTGGAAACGAGATGAGCCCATCCCCATTTGTATCAAAAAGCATGAAAAACTGAGAAGCATCACAATCAAGCTCGGCAGGGGGTCTCTCCCCTCTTAAAAACCCTTCACGGATGATATGGGAATCTGACGGTGGAAACACAGGAACAACAGCCCGCATCAGGTCGGCTGGTGTCATGAACATCTCCCCATGATGGTGTCTATGTGACGCAAAATATTCAAAAACCTGGAAGAGCCGAATTTTCAATTGATGAAAGGGCTTTGAAATTGTATTTTTCCAGAGTCACATATGGTATGCAAAAAATATCAGGTACAATAAGCACATGAGAAGCTCAAAAAACCTGCTTTCTGGGGCGCATGTCTGTCAGTAATAGATAACCTGAGAAAGTAAATTCAGCTACAAGTAACAAACCTAAAAAAAGAAGCCACTCAGTAAAAGATTCCAATTGGTACAACTCAAATTGGACCGTTGGAGTACAAAAATTACATCAAGAATGATGAACCCCTGTAGTTCATAAACTAGCCTATGAAGTACACAATAACTTTAGTGAAATTAATGGTTAAAGTTAACAAAACTACTAATACTTTACAAAACCAACATTCATCTTATGATAAAGCCTGCTAGGGGGGAAATATCCCATAACTTTGAAATCATACATTGCTTATCATTAGATGAAAAGTCAAACTCAATATTCAAACTTGATTGCATAACAGGTTTTTCAACTAAACACTTCAGTGGATGATTGGTTGCCTCGTGTGAGAAATTTTGAATGATTGTATTCTCCTTTAAGCGGGTGGGTAAGCTAATTGGAATTTGAATCTTGGACATTGTTTTGCAGACCTTATGCTGAAACAACCAAACCAAGAGGCACCAAAACTCAAACCCATTATTATAAAATAAACAGAGAACATTTTAAAGAATATCAGCAAATGCATTATCATCATCATTGTCGAAGCCTTTTCCCAACTAATTGGGTCTTTATTAAGGGAATATCAGCAAATGCATGTTACAACTAATACTTCTAGATAGTTTTTTGGAATTGATCATAAAAATCACTGAGCAAATTCATCAATCCCTAGATTCCCTACAAGCCCGTTTGGATCCTACGATTTGCATATGTAGGATATGAGCCACAAAAATATGTTTAGCTTATTTTCATCACTTGTATCCTGGATATGACGATCCGGAAAGGACTGATATCCTGGATATACCAATTCCAAGTTGGAATTGGCGTGTCCATGATATGTCAATCCAATAGGAATCATCACTTGGCATGCTAAGTGGACCGTAGAGGGAGAGAAAGGGAACAGTTAGAGAGAGTATTTTGAGGAAAAGAAAAGAGTTGAGAGAAAGAAGCAACACAATTAGAGAGCTAATGGCATAATTAGTGAGTGAATGAAGGTAGAGTGAGAAGGGCACAGTTAGAGAGAGAATGTGCAGGGTTAGAGGGAGAAAGTGCGCGATCAAAGAGGATTTAGAGGGAGAAATTGCATGGTTAGAAAGAAAGGAGATAGAAAGAGAAAGGCATGGTTAGACAGTGGAGTTGAGAGAAAGGACAGAATGAGAGAGACAAAGGAGTCGCAGAAAGAATGGGCATCATTAGATAGAGAAAGACTTAGAGAGCAAAAGGGCACAATTAAAGAGAGAGGAGATACAGAGATAAAAAAGGAGATAAAGAAGGAGATACAGAGATAAAGACCATGGTTACAGAGAGAAAAGATACAATTAGAGACAGATATTCAACGGTTAGAGAAAAAGGAGTTAGAGAGAAAGGGCATGGTTAGAGAGGATTAAAGAGAGGAGGGCATGGTTAGAGAGGATTAAAGAGAGGCACAATTAGAAAGAACAAACTTAGAAGAAGAAAGGGTATGGTTAGAGAGAGAGGAGTTAGAAAAGGAAAAAGGAATAAACTTTTTATAGTTTGAAAACAGAATGAAACTCACATCCAATATTTACAAATAGTGACAAAAACAGTGGATTTGTGAAACCAGGATTTCATGCAGATGATAGAGACTTTTTTTTTTATAAGAAAGATTTTTTATGGGTAGCAAAGACTTTTATAAGTAATATGTAAAAGTAGTCCAAATAGAGGGGTGCCAGAATACATGCTAAGAGGGTCTCTCAACTACCCAAAAAGCACCTGGATTGAGATTACATCACTCGATATTAGCAAGCCTAAGAACGTGATAAAAAAGAAATAGATATAGAGGCAGTAACATATTCAATCTCTGCAACAGTAACATATTCAATCTCTGCAAATATAATCTCTAATCCGCATAAGGAGTATACAGCCTTGATTAGATTCATAGTCGCCTTCAACAATAATCGAGTGGTCGACCTTCCCCAGACTAAGCGTCACCCAGTAATAGAGCCTTCGCTTCAGCATATGAAGAATGAATAAAGAAAATCTAAGACTGCCAACAAAATTTAACGTTACCAACCTGGTAGTCAGAGAGATCCATCCCAGGTGTGGCCATGCCAATGTTGCAGCAAAGAAAGCCAATGTACTCCAATCTCTAAGGAAATTAACTACCTGATGTTCACAAAACTAAGGTTTAATCAAAGATCATACAAAGCCCGCTTGAAAATCCTCTCCTTCAAATTGGTTTCCCTAACTCTCTCCCCTCTATATATATATATATATATATATATACTACCTACTTCGTCTCTACAGATCGACCACAGTGTCGCACTACACTACAACTCAACGTACGGCGACGCCTCCGACTAGGTAACGAAACGGTAAACGGTAAACAA